GATATCCTCATACTCAGGAGAAGTAGCAGGATGTGTTTTGGAGTGTAATGCCATGTATACCCTTGACGTGTGTGAGAAATATTTCAGTGATAATTGTCACTTGTTAATTTTTTTTCTATTTTCCAAAAACGTACAGCAACAGATAAAATCTTCCAAAGACTCAACAGACCTCTCAGAAAATACCTTAGGGTGTCTACTTTCTGAAAAGAGGTAATTTTGGGAGTATTTTTACTATCCTGGCATTTTAGTGGCTCTGAAACTGTGATAGGTAGTCATAAAAACAAAGCCTGAAGGTGGTCATTGGATTTTGGGCCACTGTATTTGGTTAGGCTGCCAAAAGGTCTCTCACATGTAGTATCCCCATACTCAAGAGAAATAGCAGAATGTGTTTTGGGGTGTAATTCCACATATACCCTTTGGCATGTGTGAGAAATATCTCATTAAAGTGACAACTCTGTGTAAAAAAAGAATATATATATTTTTCGGCATTTTCCAAAACTTTGTGGCAAAAATAAAATCTTCCATGGACTCAACATACCTCTTAAAAATACCTTGAGGTGTCTACTTTACAAAAAGGGGTAATTTGAGGGGTATTTAAACTGTCCTGGCATTTTATGCCCCACATTAAGAGTTTCTGCCACATATCCACCCACTCTTTTAATGTTAGGCATATCAATAATGTTCTTTTTTTGTGCAGCCTTTGGGCTGTAAGAAAAAAAAAGAACCTAGCAGATTTCTCCATTCACATTGATCGAGGTGAATGAAAAAGTCTCTTACAAAAAGAAATTGAAAAGAGTATATGTTGAAGCGTAGGAGCTACCTCCCACTGGCCACCCCATGCTCCTAAAGCTGGGCATACACATTCCTTTTTTATACTGCGGATGCAGAAATCTCCCCACTCAGTGCTGCAAGCACTGACGTATGTATTCTGAGAGCAGCACCATGCTGATGTCAGAATACACAGCTGTTTGGCATTTCTGCACAGCAAACAACAACAGTTTACAATACCCCACAGTAGCAATATATTATTAACTCAATAAAACAATTTTTTTTAATTTAAACATTTTTTTTTTTACTTTTTTACTTGTTTTGTAACTTAACTTGTCATAATAATAACCTTTTCAGTCTTTGATTTTAGGGTCTCTCAAAATGTGACAGTTTCCTGACTACCTAGCATCTTTAGAGAACCTTCCTGTGCAGAATTGTGTGTACCCCTATACTGTGCCATGATATTTCCTAGACTAATAGTCCACTATGGTGTGGTAGCGATGGGAGCAGTCCTTGAGGAAAAGGCAAGGTTGGCCAGGACAGGAGAGACAAAAACAAAAAAAATGGATGCCACGCCTTATTCAACGTTTATCACAAACACAACATTATTTTTGGGGTGACCTTTGTGTTGGAGTGGGTTGGAGGACATGTGGAAAATGTATTTCATGCAGCTGCATCTGGATATGGACTTTTGGCCACAGCATTTTCTGGATACAAAAGGGCTGAGATGATCGCTCATAGATCAAAAGTTTGGGCACTAGTCCACAACAGCAATAGCAGAAAGTCCATGTGAATAAATACCCACAGCAGCCACACAGGAAGGGCACCAGGAGTGGTGTGAGCAAAAACTTGATCCAAAAGTCTAGATAGTAGGTGCTCTTGGGTACTCCTATCAATAGCAATGTCACTGCTAGCTGATAAAGTTATACTATCATACACAGTTTCTCTTTTAAAATCACATGATGATTTTATTATAAACTTGCGTAGAGGGGGCGTGGTCCAAGATGGCCACGTGACACGGAGCTCCTGCCAGCCAGAGACCTTGCATCGATATTAGTAGAGGAGCAGGTGAGACAGAGCCATTACATGATGGGGAAAGCGGACCAGAAGGTCTACGGCTCCTGTTCCGCTCCCCACAGGCACATAACCCCCAGCAGTCCAGACATATTCAGAAGCTGTTCAGCTCCCAGCAGAGGGACAGGCCACATGCAGCATCCCCCTCTCCTTCCCCTCCTCCCTCCACTACAGCAACATGTGCTCAGGGTGTACAGAGCACAGACATTGGGGCTGGCATGGAATCTGTCCCACAGCATGATCTCTCTTTAGACACTCATACACTTTCCTTAAGAGATCTGCAGGCAGTTGCAGCTGACATTAAAGCTACTTTTACCACAGCCCTCAGTGACCTAAGAGAAGACCTGCATTTGTTAAGTACAAGAATAGAGGAGGTGGAATTCACAAGCAGATCTAATGCTGCTGCCATAGTGGAGATACAGCAGTTGTCAGTATCGCACACATCTCATATTCGTGATTTTTATAGACAGATTGAAGATCTGGATAATAGAGGTCGCAGACATAATATCAGATTATGTGGCTTGCCTGAATCTGTGGAACCAAGCGACATTCCCAAAACAGTAATTGCGATCTTCAATGATCTGCTGGGCCGTCCACCTGCTGCACCCATTGATCTGGAATGTGCACACAGAGCGCTTCGCTCCAGAGGCAGAGATTCTGACCCCCCCAAGAGATGTGGTGTGTTGCTTGGTCAGCTTTCCAATCAAAGAAGACATTCTCAGAAGGGCCAGAGAAAGAAGACGCCTTTTATTTCAGGGTAATGAGATACACCTGTTCCAGGACCTCTCCTCCATAACCTTGCAACAAAGGCGAGAGAACTTACCCCCTGCTGGACACACTTCGCTCTCATACCATACAGGTGGTGATTTCCATTCTGTGTCTCCACTCAAGCTCATGCGCGCACAGCCTACCTGTGAGTTCAGAGGATCTACCCAGCATCTGTTCCACACTGGACATTCCTCTAGTTGAGCTTCCAGATTGGTACAGATCTTTGCGTCTTCCAAATGCTACTGAATCTGGTCGAGTACCAAGTGACACGGATTGGCAAGGCCCCCATCTCCGCCCGGTCCCTTCCACTCCTCCGAGACTTCCTGCCAGAGGCTCAACCACCAACAACAGCCCGACGGCCTCTCCTGCACATCGCAGAGCCCGCCATGATGCCTAAAGGCCTTTCTTCAATCTTTTCCCTGACTTTCTCTCATCAGCAATACTTTGCCAGTTTATGATCTTACCAGATCCCTCCCATCCGACTCCAGGACCATGCCGGTAGCACCTCGGGTCCTATTTGGCCCCTTAACTGAACACCTTCACCCTTTCATTTTCTGCTCTCTAACCCATCCGCCCTGGTCCAGGTCTTTTGATTCCCCTGCAGATGTTGCCAAATTCGCCTCATCGATCATGAAGACCTTTTCCCTTTCCATCTCAGCTTCTCCAATGGACCGCCAGTCCTGATGTACCTACGCAGGCACCCTCCATTTCACCGGCCTTTTTATTGCTGCATTTTGACTAGCTCTGATGGATGCCTGGGGGATGGTCCTACAGTTTTTCTCTAGCCCTGTTTGTAATGTATATGCTGATTTGTCCGCTGCATAGAGTCTCTGAAGAGTATGGATCTCCAGACCCTCTATGCCCGGCCCCTGTTTGGTTGTATGGCCTCCCAGGGGTCTGAATTCCATGCCCTCCATTACATATTGTCTGTATTTCCCTGACCATGATCCCTACTGTTCTTCATTAGAGTTTACTGTGAGAGGCTTCATACTCCAGCTCGCCTTTATACCTTTTCCAGGGGTAGTGTGGGATGGCGGAGGGAGACTGGGTTGGGGGGAGGAAGGGATCCGGGACTGTCATTTCCATACTATTATTATGTTACATATCTGTCTGAAATCAGTATCACCTCGTTTCACTCTCCAGGTGTTGTTCCCTGCGGGGTCCGTCCCCCTCCTTCACTCATGTCATAACACCCATCTAAACCACATTTACTGTTTACAGATTTTGAAACCATCACTCGGAGTTTCTGCTGAGCCCCCCCCCCGGTCCTGTCCTCTCTCCCCTTGCCTAGCTACCGCTATTTTTTCTCTTTTTAGACACGAGGTGCTACTTGATTTTTAGAATGTCGTGGAGTCCTGCGGGAGAGGGGTGGGAGATGGATGGTTTGAGTTTTTGAGGGGGAGTTGGGAAGAGAAGAGTTAGGACAGATGAAAGATACCTTAGGGTTCCAAAAAGAAATGGTGCACTATGTCTCATTTTTCCCAATTGGTTCCTTTGATGGTTGCTTTTTTTGAATGGTTGCCTTGCTGTTTCTGTGATGTTGCATTGTTTTTGCCATAAACAGATTATGATACGATTTGCTTTTCATCTTAATGATATGCAGGTTTTCCATCTGGCTTTCACTGATGTTTTATTTTCAGCATGGACTCGCACACTGGCCCTACCACGGCACACCTACGATACCACACAACTCTGCCCATAACTTTAGGATCATGCCACGACTGCATTCCACTTAGATGTGCATTTTCTCATTTCCCTACATACAATGCTTCCACCACGATACGCCCTAATGATATATATTCGGTCTCCTTGCCCTCATGACATTTGTTACATTTTCCTTCTGATATCCCTAAGCTTGTTGCTGCGTCTTACCTCACCCATTATGTCGGACGATGGCGGTTGTGCCCCCATCTATATCTTCATTCAAATGAATTGTGCTCACCCTCCCACCCCGATTCTTGCATTTTTTAAGGTCCATGACTCAGTGGACTCTTTCATTTTGGATCTAAGTCCACCGCGTTTCCCACACAGCGAGCTTTGAGAGCTCTCGCTGAACTTTTTCCGGCCGTCTTTACTCCCTTGTCCTCTGCCTCTCATCTCCTTTCATTCCTTGTTCCTCTTTCTGCTATTTCCCTCCTACCCCTTCTTCTTTCTTCTTCTTTTTCCTCCTTCCCGTATCTTGGTGGGTCAGCTGGTCTACCCCCACTGCCGGTTATCTCTCTCTCTCTCTTTCCTCCCCTCATTTCCCTCTTCCTTTTCATTTCTTTTCTTTTCCTTCCCCTCTCCCCCCCCTTACCCTTCCCCCCCCCTTTTTTTTTTTCTTTTCTCTCTTCTCTCTCTTCCCCATACCCCCTTTCCCATCCCTTTAGGTTCCCTTTACTCTCCCAGACATGCCTTCTCTCAACTCCCTGTCAGGACATCTTTCGCTGAACGTTCTGTCTATTAATGTGAAGGGTCTGAATACCCCTGGAAAGCGCTCTCTCCTGCTTTCACACCTTTTTAAACAGAGAGCGGATATTGTCTTTCTTCAGGAAACGCACTTCCGTCACGATGCCATACTCAAGCTTACAAAATTCGGTTTCCGACAATTTATCATGCTCCTAACCCTCATGCTAAATCTAAAGGCGTTTCCATTTTGATTGCAAAGTACCTCCCTCTGGTTATCTTGGAGTCACTTCCAGATCCGGATGGTAGATTCCTGTTTCTAAAAGGTAATTTTGCCAATAGGTCAATAAATAGTGTGGCGCTCAAATTAAATAAATAGAAATAAATAAATGAATAAAAATAAATATGTGCCCAAATAAATATGTGACCAATTCATATAGTGAAGTCCATGAAATACTCCCAACCAAAATGACATAAAATAAATAAATTACTACGTATCATATATACCTCAAGTGATCTCATAAGCAATAAATCTAGTGTCTAAAAATCATGCTTGTACATACAAACATTGCATTAAGTGACCGTGTATAAATATACCCTATTCAAAGTGAACAGAGTGCTAAAGTGCCAAAAAAAGTGTAAAAAATATATATTTCAACTTATGAATAATCCATGAAAAACACAGTCCATCAGGTGATAAATATAGCCATGCAAGTGTGGTGATAAAAATGGTGATTTGTGCCAAACTCCTCTCCTACAGGTGGCTAGATTGCCTCCTCACCTCCTCCCGGTGACCCCTAAGGGCCAGCAGGCTTGCAGGATCTCCCTGTATCCTTAATTCACAAAAGACCAGCAGCTTTTCTCCTTCTTTAAATCCCTTTGTGAGACTCCTGTTTCTCTCACTCAGCCAAGATGCCTCTAAGGAACAATGGCTCACCAGTCCAGTGAGCCAAGAAAGAAAATGCCCTCTAAGTGCAGTAATTAATGACTCCTTTATTTAAAAGTAAAGAGTGACAACACTCACATTTCCTGGCAGTCCACCCTCCTCACCGATGTGTGGGTGTACTGCATGTGAATTGGGCTTCCTAGGTGCAAGCAAGATGGCGTCGTACACCGGAAGTGCGTCACCACGCACCGGAACCTGCGGACTCGCGAACCTACGCGTTACGTCACTGTCTGCTCGTGACTTCATCGGGGTGAATTAAGGATCCAGGGAGATCCTGCACGAGTTTATGGAGTTTACACTGTACTAGGTATCAGCAGGGGAGTGTTGGCAGCTTTAAGTTGATCTTTTCACCATTCCATTTATAGCACAGGAGGATCTTTGATTACTTATAATTTTGCCAATAGGCCCATCACTTTAGCAAATCTTTACGCACCCAACACTAGACAGGTATCCTTTTTCCGCTCCATTACCTCTTCACTTTCCTCCTTCCAGATGGGTATCCTAATCTTGGGAGGTGATCTTAACATTCCCCTATGCCCTTTATTGGACTCTTCCTCTGGAAGTTCTTTCTTGCCATATAAATCCATTAGACAGATTCACACTCAACTTCAGATCTGCAACTTCACGACTCTTGGCGAGTCCTCCACCCGAATGTCAAAGACTATACATTTTTCTCCCCTCCACACAACAAATATTCCAGAATCGATTACCTCTTTATCACGCAAGCTGACCTCTCTTTCCTCCATGATTCTTCCATCGAACCCATGATCCTCTCTGATCATCACCCTATTACTGTGACATTACGATTTCCGGAGAAACATTCCCGTTCTAAGATATGGCGTTTGGATGCCTTTCTTCTTTCTGACTTGGCCAATGAAGCAGAGGTTCGCTCCCAATTAACGGACTACTTTTCGAACAATCAAACTCCAGATACCTCTTCGTTAACTCAATGGGAGGCACATAAATGCATCATTCGAGGAGTCCTAATAGCTATGGCCAAAAAACATAAAAAAGAGAGACAGACTCGCTTACATCAACTCTTAGATCACATTAAATTCCTGGAAAAGGCGCACAAACATAATCAGGCCTCTTCGATTTTATCTGATCTTACGGACACCCGCACACAGCTCTTAAACGAACTAGGCAAGGCAGCTAAGCGCAGATTCATTTTGTCGCAAAAACTTTTTTATGAGTTTGCTAACAAAAGTGGGAGATTCTTATCCAGATCCCTCCAGACAACAAAGTCGAGTTTAACGGTTCACAAGATTAGGGGCTCGGATGGCTCTTTGGCCACCTCAAATGCGGATATAGCATCTCACTTTGAGCAATGCTACAAAACATTTTACAATCTCCCTCCAGAACTCGCCCTTCTGATGCCAATAAGCCTAGAGACACCTTAATCTCTGACTTTCTTCGTCTCTATAGTCCTTCCACTGTACCTGATGATACTGTTCAGGATTTGGAACATCATATCACGGCGGAGGAACTCTCCCGAGCCGTCCAGCAAATGAAACCTGGTAAAAGCCCGGGCCCTGATGGTCTTTATGTGGCATATTACAAGGAGTTTCTAGATATTTTGAGTGGACCCTTCCTCTCTCCGCCTTCAACACTTTCTCTTCACCCTCTACGCAACATCATCGCCTCCTGGAAGCTCATATCACTGTCATCCCCAAAGACGGTAAAGATGTCACTTTGCTTACCAATTATAGACCCATCTCTCTTTTGAACGTAGACATAAAATCTACGCAAAGATCCTAGCCAACTGTCTCTTTCCCGTTACCCTCCCTGATTAACCTTGACCAAATGGGCTTCATCCCGGGAAGGGAAGCAAGGGATAACACCATCAAGGCTCTTAATCTTCTCCACCGACTTCACGATTCTCGCAGTCCAGGATTTTATTCTTTCCCTAGATGCCGAGAAGGCTTTTGATAGGGTGTCCTGGGATTACTTAGAGGCATCCCTACAGGCAATTGGTTTAGGGGACACCATGCTCAATTTCATTATGGCACTGTATTCTGGTCCAACGGCTCAGGTCCGTGTGAATGGGCATCTATCTCATCCATTCCCTCTTGGGAATGGTACGTGCCAAGGTTGCCCCCTATCCCTTGCTTCTTTTTGTGATATCACTAGAACCATTGTTACGCAAACTCCGCTTAAACCCAGATATCAGGGGTATTTCCGTGGCGAACAAGGAATACAAACTTCCTGCCTACACAGACGACATTCTTTTGTTTCTGACGGAGCCCCGAATCACCTTGCCCAACCTACTTAAGGATTTTTCCTTTTTTCAATATATCTCGAACCTCAAAATTAATCATTCCAAATCCTATGCCTTAAACATTACTCTTCCTCCAGACCTGGTTTCCTTTTGTCAGTCACAGTTCCCGTTTCAATGGGAAAGGGACTCCCTTACCTATCTGGGAATACAGCTTATGAGTAACTTCTCTGATATTTATGTCAAAAACTTTCTTCCAACCCTTGGTGCCATCCGAGCAGACCTCACTAGGTGGCATCACCCATGCTTCTCCTGGTTTGGTAGGGCTGCTATACTAAAAATGATCCTTCCCTTAAAACCTTTCGCTTAGCATGTAAATTGGCCTCCATTTCGATTGCCTCCAACCCACTAACTTCTCTTTGCCTCAATCCGGACTTCCCTCCCGTGTATGCAGAAGTCCTTTCCATCAGCACATTGGCCACACAGTCAAGTTTTGGCGAACCATTTTTTTCACAAAGGTCAACTGAAGTCTTGTTCTTCCCTGGCAAGTACTATAGGTGATCTCACCTTTTCCTTTTGGGCCTATCTTCAAATCAGACATTTTCTTCTCTCTCCTGCATAGCGCCATAAATGGGTCCGCCCTCTCACCTCCTTTGAGTCACTCTGTTCAAAGGCTGAACCATGGAGGCATTTAGTATCATTTACCTATCTGCTTCTTCTTGGTGACAGAACCTCTGATTCACTTCCTGCCTGCAAAGCTTGGAAAAGAGACTTAAACATTGACTTTTCTTCCTCTGATTGGGACCAAATCTTTACCTTTTCTCATAAGTGGTCCTTGAATGTTTTGGCACAAGAAAACGGATACAAGTTGGCGACACGTTGGTACAATACACCTTCTAGAATCCATCATTTTAATCCATCCAGACCAAGTACTTGTTGGAGATGTGGGGCTCCTTTTGGATCCCTTCTTCATATCTGGTGGGACTGCCCTATGGTTCAGCCCTTTTGGCAGGAGGTACATCGGATTACTTCTTCGGTGTCTACTCTTGATATTGAGTTCTCTCCGGCCCAACTCCTCTTCCACCACACTACGCTTCCCAAACATCTATATTTCAAATCTCTGGCTATGCATATGCTTAATGCGGCTTAACTCTGCTTACCGGTTCTCTGGGGGTCTGTTCACCCCCCCAAAGTGCGAGATTGGTTCATACGCTTGAACAGAATTGCTGAAATGGAGGAGCTGATTGCTCTTCTCTAGATAACCCTACCAAATTTTTTCATACGTGGTCCTGTTGGATTCACTTTCCGAACGACTCCTGAATATTGTTCTTTCATGGGCCTTGCTGATTGATTCTGAATCTCTCTGATACAATGTAGTGTTTCTGGCAATATATCGGCTCTCTGTTTTTTCAAGGTTGTGATTGAGGTCCTTTGTCTCGATGTCCTGTACTGCTTGGAGCAAGCTACGCTTGCACCTTGATGCCTGCAACTGTCCCCAGCTTGCTTCTCTGCCAGGGTTGCACGTATCTCTCATGTCCTGGGAGTCTTGAGTAAAGTTGACTTACCTACCCTCCTACTCCTCCACACCTCCTTCCCGTCCGACCCTTCCCCACCCCCCCCCCATCCCCCCCCCCCCTTTTTTTTTTCTATTTTTCTTCTTCTCCTCTCTTCTCTTCTTTTTCATGCTTATTCTTAAATTCTTAATCCCCATTTCCCTGCTTTCTTACTCAGAGTTTAGCTTTCATTTCTCCCCTTTCTATATTAGTACACTTCTCTACTCATAGGAGCCCTACTCCCTATCTGCAATCCAGCTGCGCATATGTTTTACTTTTCCATATCTCCTTTCCCGAACCCTTTACCCACATGCTGGCAACCTGTTTCATCAGTTACCTCAGTTTCATCAAAAGTACAAGGCCATATCCTACAAGCCATTGCACTCCCCCCTCCACACCTACTGTATACATTCCAACGCATACCTTTGACTCACTGGCCCTGCTCTTTGCTACTGCTCGGTAACTGAGGTTATATATCATCGACCCTGCCAGTGCTGTGATTCCAATATGCTGAATAAGGGCTTGAGACCAGATATGCCTTTAATGTTCCTGCGCTCGCATGGTCTCATTTTTCCCCTGTTTTCTTTTCCTTGGGATGACTTACGTCTGATTCCTTGTCTATGTATTGCTATGTATCTTTTTGTTTACTGTATGTGTGTTACCTCCTATTGTATTTCCGACTGATACCTTGTATTACCTGTACTTATTGTATGCTCTGAGTTTATTAATAAACTTTATGGAAAAAAAAAAACTTGTACAGTCTCCATGATTAATGCCATATGTAAAAAAGGGTTTGCAGTCTCATAAAAACATAAAAAGACACTATAAATTGTGTCTAAATAACATCTAGAATAGGTGGCTTACTTGCCCAGAGATAAAAGTGATGGTGAGGCTCTGAGTGAAACCCGAAGATGATAATGTCAGTGATAATATACCCAGGAGTGACAGGTACAACATCACCGACACTCCTTACCATCTTTAGGCACCACTCACTGCATCATCGGTATGCCAATTCCATCTCTGCGTAAGTAAGCCACCTATTCTAGATGTCATTCAGACACAATTTACATTATCCTATTATGTTTTTATGAGACTGTGGTGCCTTTTTACATACATCACTAATCATGGAGACTAAGTGTATAATAAAAGCATCATGTGATTTTAAAGGAGAAGCTGTGTATGAGAGTATAACTTAATCAGCCAACACGGTGACATTGTTATTGATAGGAGTACCCCCAAGAACCCCCTATCTGGACTTTGGATCAAACTGAAATTTTAGGAAAGATCCCTTTCTTGCAGCAGTTTTGTACATAACAAAAGCATGTGAATATGGGGGATAACAGGTGCTGCTAAATCTGTGGGCAGCCAATTAGGGTTTGAGAGCACCTTTCGAAGGCTACTATGGGCTCTACTGGTCTGTGCTCAAATTCTGGGTGGTTGCAGTTGCATTATGCTACATGTGCTAGCCAGCTCACCAGCTTGTACTGAACTGCTGGTGCTCGCCACTTCACCATAAAATAATACTGCACTGCTGGTGTCTAAAAGGCGAATATGTACTATGCTGTTGGTGCTTGCTAGCTCACCAAAAAGTAGAGCAGCACTAGTACCTGCGTCCAGCTGTATCTTCTGAGCATAATCATGTGTTTTTATTACTTCAGCAACATGGAGTCCGGTACACC